CCAGTTGTTGTTTCAATTGTTTCTAATTAATAACTTTTGTTTGTATATTTTTCGCAGTGAACAAGCGTTTATAAATTGTTTTGTTTGTTTGTTGTGTTCAAACGAAGAATTCGGGCAAAGTGCAATAATAATAGTCAAATATACGCGAATTAGTGCATTAGCAAGATACCTTAATTCACAAATGCCCTAACCAACAAATTTTTTATTCTACAGGAGAAGCAAAAAACTATAAAAATCAAATTATGCATATGTACATAGAGGGCGTTTTAAAAAGTGGCATAACGCCTTTGTTTTTGGGGCTGGTACTTTCAAATTTTTACCGAAGTTGTATTTTATATATCCTACCAAAATCTGTGAAAAATGCAGTTTCGAAAAATGTTGGTTAGGGCCTTTTTGAATTAAGGTACTATTGCATACATTCCCTTTCGGAATGTTTTAAAAAAGCGTTCCGCAGAATGAAAGAAACATTCCTCTTTGTTGGACAATAGGGACGCGCGATGTCATTGGGAGAAAGTATTCCCTTTCGCTGATTGCAGAAAATCTAGGGAAACATAAATGTTCACTCTAAAGATTTTTTAATACTCTTTCGTTGTGAATGCCCTCTTTGAGTGTCAGGAAGAGGTAAATCTGTCAAACGATCCACTATCCTTGGATGTTCGAAATTTTCACTTCTGCTATCTCCCCCACGCTATTGAAAAAGCATTTGGGATTATGTTGGAGACGCCTTGTCTGGAGAGCTGGGCATTGACATTAGAAGTGGTGAATCGATTCCTCTTCATCCCGATCCCGACAACTTTTGCAGAGAGAGCTTGTTGGTATACGCCATCGATGGACCATTAGTGTTATAGCACCGTGCAAGTTGATGACGCCCTTACTGCAGATTGGTTTAGTGTCAATAGTTCCTTAGTACAACTCTTATTGAGTTTCGGCCACAAGGATTTTGAGATCTCACAGTCGTCCGATTAATCCAGGACATTGGTTGCGGCTGGGGTGTATTCTTCAATCCCTCTTAGCAGAGAATAAATCGTTTGAAATAGGGAGTTATTTACTTTGCTAATTTGCATTTCCGAGCCGTGTCTAGCCATCTCATCGGCCATTTCGTTCCCTTCTATATTGCTATGTCCAGTAACCCAGCAGAGACAGGTTTTTGGCGTGACTCAGTAAAGCCAGCGTTGCACGACATTTCCGAACTACTTTCGACCTTACCATTCTGAAGCCTAATGTTTGAGACAAGCCACCTTCTCCATGGCATATATCTCTGCCTGAAAAACGCTGCAGTTATCAGGCAGGAGCTATGATTGCCTTATTTAAAGGCCCTTGGAGTACAGACCCGAGTCAGGTCCTTTTTAAAAATCCATTTAAATTATGAAATTGGAAAATTTTAAAACTTCGTCGGAATTTCCTCAAGAAATAATACGGAATATTTCCATTTTACTCCAAGTGGAAACTTTCCTTATTTTCCAAGAGGGGTATATACGCATTTAAAGGTATGGATGTAGGAATATATGTACATATGCTTGCATATATGTATGCACTTGTAGTAAACTTATACATATACATTTAGAAAGAAATTTAAATGAAAGCTGACAACTTGCATGTCAATGCTGGCCGTAATAAGTGGGTGGGGTGCCAACCATTAGTTAGTAGAAATTTCACGAACTCGCGCGAAAGTAGAAAATTTGCCGGTTAGGCTTAAACCGGCGTATTGAAGCTAAATATGTAGCCACCTAATAGCAGAGTCATTGTTTTACCACAATGTTGACACACACGCACGCACATTTGAATACATACAGTATATTCGCTAATAGTTTGTGCAAACTAAAAGGGGTACAAACAGAGGGTGGGGAACTAACTGAATGATACAAAGCAACAATAAAAATTAAAAAAAATATATTCTACAGTGTTCTAAAGGCAGACAAACTTCATACTTAATGACTTATGCATATTATGGTCCCAAAGCTCACAAAGCTGCGATGCCATCTATGGGCCCGCAAATAAAATTTACTGATCCCACTGCGCAATGAAATGGTTTGACTCTAATTGAAATGAAGGAAGCAATTTAGTTGATCTCTCGTTTTGATTGCATGAAAGCATTTTTAATGCGATACGCACGCAAAAAGCCTCCATCAGACACTCCATCTTTTCCGGCAGTCAATAGGTTCTGTTTTTTCTATTCATGCATCATGATTGCCCCGATGAGTTATGAAAAATGTGTAAATTGTCTATGAACGATTTCACTTTACCAATTGCATACACGCACACACACTTACGTACATATGTATGAGCCGACAAACAACAAAATTGTCTCGCTTGGATGTCAATGAACAGCATTCAATGCTGGACTTTTTTGTAGTGGTTGTGAATTTCTGCTTTCTGTTATTTGTATAAATTTAAGCTTTCTGCTATTTGTATTAATTTATTTACCTTTTTGCTATGCTAA